GGCTGAACCCCGTTAAATACCCACGACAATACGATGGCGACGAAGTCGGCGCCTGACAGAGCTTTTAACCCCTGTCCGACGAAGCACGTAAATCGTTCCGGGCGGGCAATGCAGCTTTGCAGGCGGAGCGCGGCGTTTCTCTCGGATGACCTGAACACTTTATTACCGGGGATTTATTAACCGTTTGTAGCAGCCCTGAGAACCTGGGAGCCGCTTAGGGACCACCTATCGAGCACCGGGGTCAGGCTGCGAGCGGGGGCGATGCGGAGGGTTTAAACCAATTTAAACCGACCTAATACCATGGTACGGCTGAAAGTGAGATGACCCACGTGCAGCCCTGGCTCTGGGTTGGTGCAGGGCTGAATCCAGCCAGCTCCAGTAGAAAACCAGTACAGGGTTTCGGGGGGGTTAATTTGCAGTGGGAATGAGCTGGTGGGGTTCCTCTGCCCGCTGCCTGACTGCGAGGTGGGTTTTGGGACCAGGGCAGGTGGGGAGACGAGCAAAGGGGAGGTTTGGGGATGCTTGGGCAGCGGGTTCTGGCTCAGACCCATCCCTGTGGGGCTGGGCAAGGCAGGGAGCACACCACGACCTCGCAGCCACAGCCGGGCTCACCCTGCAGCATCGCAGTGGGGTGCGTTACGGGCCGTGTCCAAAACGGGATCCTTTTTGGGGGAGGAGGTGAGATGCTCCTCCTGGTCCAGCCCTGGCTTCGCTCTCACAGACCGGACACGACACCATCCTTTTCCCTTTGCCCCTTGTATTTACGGGGCACCCAAATTTTTCTGCCGCTGGGGTCACCCTGTTTAGGGTTGGCTGAAAAGCCAACGGACCGGGCACAGGGTGCTCCTGAGTTCGCTCAAGGTACTGGACCAAGCCTGTGTTGTAAATGCTGAGGACACTGTGGTAAGATGCTTAGGTTTTGCTCATCTTGCTCTGTACTGCATGGAGATGCTGTCAGGGAGGAGGCCTGCTGCAATTCTCTGTGTTTGCTCCTTTTCATTTTCACGTGAGAAAAACTATTGACTTCACTGCTGTTGAATTCTCTGCAATTATATTGTGGCCTTTTTTCATAGTGCCACCGTTTGAAGACTCAAGTTATATCACAGAATCACAGAATGTTCACGGTTGGAAGGGACCTCTGTGGGTCATCTAGTCCAACCCCCCTGCCGAAGCAGGGTCACCCAGACCAGGCTGCACAGGACCTTGTCCAGGCGGGTCTTGAATATCTCCAGAGAAGGAGACTCCACGACTAGGATTAGGACCTGAAGTCAAGAATCCTCTGGGTCACTTCCTTGTATGAGGCAGAAGAGTGAAGTAAACATTTCACAACGTTGAAGAACATGGTGGTCCCAACATCTGGCAGCGGCACGTGTCCCCGGCCAGCGCCAAGGCTGCGGGAGCGGGAGAGCAGCTGGTCGAGGGAAAAGGGCCTTTCCTTCCCTTTTGGCTCCTGGAGAAAGGGGCTCTTTCTTCGTTCAGGGGTTTGCCCATCAGGCTTTCAGCTGCCTCTCGAGCCGCGGTTGCTGTGCCATCGGGTTGGAGACAAAAGGCGCCCAAAAAAAAAGCAAATTGAGACTGGAAGGCTGGGCTCTGCAGCAATAGCGGGAAGTGGGGAGTGTGGGATTCGGTTCCTGTGTTTGTACGGTCTAACTGCTTTTTTTTCTTTCTTTTATTACGGGAGGCTTCTTTGGCAGCGCAGGTCGCTCCCCAGACACGGGCAGAGCCGTGCAAAACCGAACCCAGCAGCCTCCCCAAGCATTTCTAGCCCGGGGCCATGGTTCGAGGGCTGACCAGGGGAACGTACAGCCTGAAAGCGGGAGAAGGCAAATGCTGGGGCTTACCTGAGGAAGCAGCTTCCCTGCTTCGTCCTGCCTGGTATTATGGTATTGTTTATCCAGTGCCAGAGATGAATGGAGCACGTGACGGCAGGAAAAATGCAAGTTGGACAAGGTCCCTGCCCAAAAACGCAGCAGCCCCTGATTATGGCATTACATTGCAGCCCGGGCCCAAACCCGAATCCGCCTCCCTGCAGCAGCGCACACGCAGGGAGAGAAAACCCCACCAGCTCCCTGCCTGCAGAGGCAGAGGGTGGGGGGGAGCAGAGGCCCCAGGGTTCGGTGTCAGTACAGTAGCAGGTTGGTGGCACATCCAGGACCAGATTTCAACCCCAGTTTTGGGTTCAACCCAACCTTGGGGCCGCCGCTTCCCCCGCTGTCTGCCTGGAAAAGCCATGTCTCGTTTAGCAAGGTGTTGCTATCATGGTTGAGAGTCACCGGGGGGACTTGCCTGGTGTCTCTGTAGCATTTCTCTCGGGACCCCACCCGGACCGTGGGGCTGCCCCCCAGCACCAGCTCCAGAGCACGGTGCCGCACCCAGGGTGGGGTGAGCCAGGTGTGGGTCTCCCCGAGCAGGGATGGGAACAGACCCCCCTCTAGTGCCCCGCTCCCGGGTTTACCCACCGGGCTGGAGCTCCGTGGAAGTGAGAGGAGTGCTGCAGTTTGGGGGGATTTTGGGTTTTGGGGTTATTTTTGAAGTGTTCTTGGCCTCAGAAGAGACTTCTGGAGGTGGGTCAACCCGGATGGCTCACAGAATCACAGAATGTTCAGGGTTGGAAGGGACCTCTGTGGGTCATCCAGTCCAACACCCCTGTCCAAGCAGGGTCACCCACAGCAGGCTGCACAGGACCTTGTCCAGGTGGGTCTTGAATATCTCCAGAGAAGGAGACTCCACAACCTCCCTGGGCAGCCTGGGCCAGGGCTCCGTCACCCTCAGAGGGAAGAAGTTCTTCCTCATGTTCAGACAGAACTTCCTCTGCTTCAGTTTGTGCCCA